TTCTTACAAAAGGTTCTCTTGTTAAAAAAAAGTCTCAGTCCAGTCGCACCAAAGAGTATTTCACAGAAAAGAAAACTACCGCATGTGTCCCTCAGCTTTCTTCCAAGTGCCAAGAGAATTCTGCTGGAAGATGGCACAGAACCCAAGACTCAGAAGACTACTTTTTCAGGTTCCGGTAAGGACCCTTTAAGTGAGGCAGTTTCTTTCCTCAAGTGAGAATGAATCCCTCCTCTATCAGAGGCTGGGAAAGTTAGGAGATGTACAAGAGGTCAGAATTAAGTCCATTAAATCCAGCCCTGGATTTAGTCACCATAGAGACAGTGGGGATAAATAAACCAGTAACCTTAACAAATGTGCTTCACCTTTGCCAGACAGATCTCCAATGCACCATAATTTTTACTCAAATATCCTGCAGCCCAAACATAAGTGAGGCGGAGGCTCCAAAACCAAACAGACTGAGACCCAAAAGCACTAGGATGGCTCCTGCAGGCAAATGGCAGGCAAGGGGTCAAGGCCCCCCTTCCTCAGCAATGTGCTCTCCAGTCCCCTTGAAAAGGGATTGCAACACCAAGCTCCAGAGGCAATGACATATGGGGAAAATATGTGGCGCGAAAGCCAGAGGAAACCATGTCAAAAAAGAAAAACAGACATGAAGTAACTGACCTAATTAAAGGAGCGAAGTCTACTTCCAGCAGGGAAGCGAGTCTATCTGAGGCTGGGGGGGTGGGGGGCTGCTGGGAGGACCCAAGTCCTCAGGGGCACGGTGGTTGCTTGTCTAAAGCAATTTTAAGGTTCCCACTGCACCTTCAGACCTGAACATTCACAGCCTGGAGCTGCGAGAGTCACAAAAGACTCTCAAACAAGTATTTCTATTCCACACGTGGGCACCAAACCACGGGCCCAGTCAGAGAAAGCAAGACAGCGGCGTGCGAGGCAGGAGGGCCAGCAAGAAGGAAGCACAGTGTGGGGACCGGTGAAGGCGGCCCACAGGTCTTCAGCGTGTTTCCTGAGCGCCTATGCGTGAGCTGCAGGGAGAAAGCTATGTGATGTGGCACTCACTTTCAAGCCGTGGAAGTCGAGAGTTCTCAACCTCCAGAATGTGAGCCAGAGGACAATGACATGAAGAAAACCTCAAGAAAGCGTTGCCGACATGTGTCCACAGGCCGTCCGGGGCTGGTCCTAGGTGCACATCACTGTACAAGGCATGGTCCTGGCACAATTCTGTACCCTGTCTTGTTTTAAGCCATTCTCTATTATACACATTCTTCTGTATTGCTCTGCAGGCGTCAACATTATAATCTTGAAGATATTCATGGACTCCACTGCACTGCTATCTCACAGTTATTTAATCAAAAAGATTTCTTGAGTGAATGAACCAGTTCCCTAAGGTTGGACCTATAAATTCTTTCTAATTTTTGGTCCTTATATGGAACACTGTGATGAATGCCTGTAACATCTACCTTTTGTTTTTTAAAGGACAATCTGTTTGTTAGAACCCACTTTCCAAAATAGGATTACTGGATCAGAAGATACCGATTTGGGTGACTTTTGCCATATACTGCCCAATCATGCTCCCAAAGGCATTTTACCAATTTACAATGCTCCTAGGATCAAAAGTGTGTTTATCAGTTTCAAGGTAACCACGCCTTGCATATGCTGGTCTTTGCATACCAGTGAGGCCCAGTGTTTTTCCACATTTATTTACTTTGTGATAAACACGAATGTCTCTCCCCTTGCACAGCCCCCACCCCCCCAACTGGAGAATTCACGTAGCCAGCTGTTCGGGGGCATCTTCTGTGTCGCAGGCCTTACCATCTGTATGCGCCCCGTGTGTAATACAGAAGCTATTTGCCCTGTCAAATAAACCATCAACTTTTCCTGGTGCGTTTCCTTTCCACTCTTGTTTTCTAGCTTCAGCATGGCATAATGAACAAGAACTGCATGCATTTAAAGTCCACAATGAGATGATCTGACATGTGTCTACACGGTGAAATGATTCAATGATTCCTAATTTTTGTGACCTTATTTATGTATTCTAGAGTCTTACATATTCTACAATTATAAGATTAGACATTTTAATACCTACTCCATGATTCTTGAGATAGTTATATTTAGCATGTCCTTGTACTTAAAAACATTTTGAAATGAATGCTACAATTGTCTTTTACACTGGCAATGTTATATTCAAAGAAATTAAAGTTTTTAATGTTTCCTGATGCAACTAGAAGTGAACCCAGGTTTACTGAAGATTCAACCCCAAGTAGGTAGAGATTCCTTTTCTTTCTGAGGCCAAAGACAAAAAAAGACTCAGAAGCATGGTTGCCTTTTCCCAGCCTGGCTTTAGGGTAGGGTGCCCATGCTATTCAGAGAGAAGTAGGTTTTCATTCTCACAATGGCACCACCTCAGGCCTTCCCTCAGACCACCTGCTGGAACTGCCCATGCAAGTCTGAGCAGCACTGGGGGGGGGGGACCCTAGGACTCCTCCAGAGTAAGAGGAAGCACCCATACTCCACACACTGCTGACGCTCTCTTCTCAATCAGGAACCATCAGTCCCTCTCCCCTCAACTGTATACTTCAACCCTTTTAATGTACCCATTAAAATGAGCATCACCCTGAATCATGCACCTGAGGCTGAATAACCTGAGGGCTGGAGACAACGCGTGGCCCTAAGTTAGCGACTCAGCGTCATCTACACCTCGGCTGACAGTTCTCACGCCTCTGGGCTGATCTTACAAATGAGTAAAACATCCAGAGCATGGCAACATACCTTGTCCTTCGTGCCAAGGAGACATCAGAGGGTGGTGGAGAGTGTGGCGAATTTCAGTGTTCACGCCCTAGCTAAAGCTACGGCAGCTGTTTGGTGCTGCCCACCAGGAGTGCAGACACAGTGCGGCCACTCTGACAGACCGCAAGAGAAGCTGAAAACACTACGTGTGACTGTGCATAGTGAACAACTGGCAAATCAATGCTAAAGTGAACGTATGTCAGTGATACAAATATTTCAGGGATCTGAAATACATGTTTAGTCGCTGAACAATACTGCCAGTGCCACAGAAACCCACAGGAGCAGCTTATGTCCGTGTCAGGAATTAGGCTGTGTTCAGGTTCTCACAGCAAATCATTCCGTAGCCGAAAGGTGGCCACGTGGAAGCATGTCAAGTTCTTGAATTATAAAGCTCATCTGCGATAAATGTGGGATCATTAAAATAAAGCAAAATATGGTCACGTGGAAACGGCAAAGTCCATTTCCTGAGCTGCTCGATTACTGCAGATGAACTGAGAAAACAGGGCGTGAAATGCACAGTGCCCGTTAGTTTTCACGGGGCCCCAGGCACAGCTGCAGCCCCAGCCGTGACCGCATCCTGGAGCGTGTGCAACTGCTTCTGAGCGGGTGGCGTGCGTCATGGGCTCCTGGAGCAGACCAGAGGGAGAACTGCACCCCTGCGCCCTATTCTACTCAACACTGGGCAGTTAAACAAACAAACAAACAAAACAAAGTAAAAGCAAAAGCAACGTTTAGTTTCCTTGTCTGCAAAGGGAAAGGAATGTAGAGCTTAAAGAACATCAAATCGCTCCGACATTCTCAGATGGGCACATGCAGGGCTGAGTGAACCAGGGAAACAAGGAAGAAAACTCAACGAGACGCAAGTGCATTGCGAGTCCTGAACGTGCGTGACATCAGCCCCATGGATTTCTGTCCCGGTGAAACAGAAGCTGCCACTCTATTTGATGAACTCCCCCAAGAAACTCATTGCTCTTATTGAAAGAACCCAAAAAGGCTGATTTTGGGCAAATGTCTTTGGGATATTCTTAGAATCTCAGAACCACTTGAATTCAAATGCTCATACAGTATCTCGCAATGCTCATCAACATCACAGGTTGCCGGGGTCACCTAGGTCTAGGCCGCACCTCCAGCGAACGTGACGGGAGGATGTTTGCCCTTTGGCCTATCTCCTTAAACGATCTAGACTGCTGGTCCTGGAGCACGAAAATAGGAGCTCTGCAAAGGCACACAATCTCTGCTCTACTACCAGAGGGGCCCACACAGGGGAGGGAGAGGCAAGTGCCATGCCCCTCGGTCCTTGTTTTCTCTCTCTGAGGTGAGGCTGACGGGTTTGTTTGAAGACAGGTCTCTACCATTTGAAAAAAAAAGCCTGGAACCCACCATTTTGGGGAAAGGCTGGGAGTGACAGCGAGGCTGCAGTTTCTCCTGGCCTTGGGGCCAGTTGCGGGTTCCAGGCCCTGAAAGCGTTTCCAAATCCTACGATAACTGATACAACGCATCAGATTTGGGTTAAAAGCGTTGAAAAACCAGCCCCCTTGAAAAATGCTCTTTAAGGTTGACTTTATCTAGGTGTCTGCTTACACATGGTTTAGAATGTGGAGCTGCTGCAAGTAGCTGTAACCTGGGCGACTACTGCCACCTAGTGGGCATCTACCCTAACTGAAATAAAAGGCAACCCCCCCCCCCCACCACCTCACATTTACCCAGACTGCCAGAGCTGGGGAAGGGTGTCAGGAGGGCAGGAAGGCAGGATGCAACCAGACCTCCTGACTAGCTCAGGATGCCCGAGTGAATATTCTTTCTTGCAAACAGCTGTGGACATTAGCCACAGACGGGAGCTGGACACTGACGTGCAAGAACCAGTCTGCTCTCCGGCTGCTCTGAACTTGGGTGCTCGTCAAAAACCACTTTGCTGGTCGCACACACAAGCGGGGTGCTCTGTGGGGTTCCATCAGCGGACAGTGCAGAGGACCTGGCATGAAGATGCCTCCCACTGCTCCTCCCTCCCTGCTGCTTTCCTGCTCCTTCCTGTCCACAGGTGACTTCAGCTCCTCTTTTCCTGCAGGCCCATTGTGCTCGACAATGCCCCTTTTCATGTCCCCAGAGCAAAATAAATATGATTTTGCTTCCCCTTGAAAAGGCCCTCCCCAGAGAGCTAACACTCGAGGTAAGCTCTGAGAATGGTCACACTGGTGAACACGGGCAACACTTACCTCACAAGCTGGATGTGTGGAGAATGGATGTACTCAGCTGGAGGCTGCTGCCGACTTCCGACGTGCCTGAGTCAGGAAAACACGAGAATCAGGAAAACACGAGAATCAAGAGGCAAAGTTACCTGTGCGGCGGAAAAGGTAGAAATCTCAAACACCACAACCCAGAAAGCCAAATTCCTTTAAATTGGCTAAGGACGACACATCCTACTCTGTATTTACAACCCTTCAAGTTCAAGGAACACTGCCAAGATGGCCTGCCTACTTCCCCAAATGTGTTTATCATATAACATGGCACCGGCAGCAGTTCTGGCCCCTCATTATCAGGCTGTATTAGCGCAAACACTCAGCATTGTTAGTGGAGTGAGCTCACAGCCTAGCTGGGTTTTAAATGAACATTTGGCAATCACCCGGGTAATCAAAACAAATGACTCAGTCGTTTAGAATAGATTTATTAGTTGAGCCTCCCCCCCTTAACATCTTTAGACTATTTTGCCACAAGAGGGCTCAGATCCAGACAGAATGTAGAGCACAAGTCACCAGAGGAATATTTAGAGATGTCGCCATGACGATGAGGTATTGTGACTGCTGAAGTTATCACCAATCCGCAACAGGATTAGGATGGAGGCCACGTCAGGCTGGTTGCTGGGGGTTGAGGGGGGACACCACTGCTAGGAAACAGGTGTGCCCTGAGCTCATCGCATCACAAAGCCACCAGGACCCACCTGCTGCCCACGCTGCCTCAGGGGGCATCCCCAAAAGGTCATCCCCAGCATTCAGAAAGGGGAAAGAGCTGCCCAGGGTGAGCCCCCAAGTGTGAACTCCTAAAATTCACACCAAATGCATTTCTCTATCAACTGTGAAATGTACAAGAGCAAATGAAACCTGAGGAAAAGACAGCTCCAGGAGAGGAGGACCCGTCTCCTGACGTGCGTGCTCCCATGTGCGGAACAGTGCTTGGTGCACGGATGTGCAGGTGGCTCTCAGAAGGACCAAGCACGTGGACAGGACCGATGTACACCAAGCATCACCGCCCTCAGGGCCACTCCCACCCTGCCCAGCTGTTTCCGGGCTGACCATGAAGCAGTGGTTACAGATGCAAACAAATGTGCAGTAGGTCGAAACCTAGCAGCCCCCACAGCTGTCTGCTGACTGTGGGGAGGGAGTTCTTGTCTGCCAAGTCCAAAACCCACAGAAAGGCCAATCTGTGCCACAGATGGAGAGCTGACTTCCCACCATGAGTATCTGAAAAGAGCCATTCAAAAGAACACCTTCTGGTCCTCTTCCAACCTACATGCGAGTGGAGACGAGCCTGCCCTAGCCGCCGAATCTTACCTTCGGTTATGTCCCAATGCTTCACACAACTTAAAAGTTACTTGGTGGCTGGGACAGACGTTCTTACTTCTTTTGTTTTTATGTTTTTATTATCATGTTTTTGCATCATTCTTCATTTAGTGCTCCCCATGGACTTCCCCCCACCACTTCTCCCACGTGCCATCCCCAGAGTCTCGTGTGCTCTTCCAGCCCGTTTGATCCTGTTCCCCTCTCCTCCCCTGGAGAATGACGCTGGTTTGTAGTTATTCTTAATTCTATCTGCTTGTTCTAGCAGAACTTCGCAAGTGTGGACATCCAGAAAGGCTTTACTCTCATCTCCCACCACCCACACCCCACTCAGCTTGACTTACAGTTCTAGAAGGTGCCACGCCCTTATGTGCAGCTGTGAGGATGGAGCAGGCACAGTTGTTCACAGCAAAGGTTCCAGGATAGGCTGCCCAGCCAAGTGCTGGCTCCGCCCTATCCTGGCTGTGTCACCCTCAGGACCTCATAATGGTCTCTGACCTCACAAGGGCAGGTGAGGGCAGCGGGGCCAGGGCCCGCAAAGCAGCTAGCCCCAGCCCAGCAAAGGCGTCCACCGAACACCACATCCAGCGCCTGCTACTTCCGTGCAGGCAGAGTGAACACGCTCTCCAACTTGACCCATTTCATCTGTTGCTATGCACATTTGTCCCCAAACATAACCCTCCCGCCTCTGATAATTTAACCCAACTCAGCCCTCCAACCTGTCTGCTGTTCAGTCCAGCCTTAACATGCTCCTTCATTTTACTCACCCTTCTGGAATCGATTTTTCCTGGAGAGGAAAACCATACACCCTGGGCTTTCCCGAAGGAAAGTATCTGGTTCTCTCCTTAAAGACCCAGAAGAGCTTCCTCCCAAAGGCTCCATCCCTATGGCGCCTTCACTGCCTTCTCTGTGCTCCCCAACTCTACAAGTTTAGGCTTTGGGAGACAAAAAGTGTGTGTGGGGGGCAAAGGATGGGAGACAGGGAACAGCTAGAGAACTTGCCTTCTAGCAATCCCACAGAAGGCCGCCCCATCCCCTGATGCCCTCCAGAGGGCAGGAGAGAGAGGCCCAGGGGCCATGCAAGCAGGGGAGAGCCAGCACTGGGGTCCAAGTCTGGGCCCTGGAGCAGGAATCTTGGGCTCATGGTTTATGGTTTCCCCATCCAGACTAGCCCCCAAAGAATGATAAGCACGGACGGCAAGATCTCAAGTGCATGTGTGAGCCCACACCAGCTTCCTGTCGCTGCTGCTGGTGGGTGGTCCTGCTTAACATTTAGCTGGGCCCGGGGCGGGGTGGGGGGCACTGACGGCAGGTAGGTCCATGGCATGCTTTCCAATCCTGTGTGTAACTGTGGCTCCGACCAGACATGAGACACATTGTGTTGATGATATTGCGCAAGAATAATAACAGAACAGCAGCCAAACACGCTGGGTAAGATGTGATGACAGCAAAATAATCCAACAGAAAACACGACACTTTCGGGTCAGTCATGCTTTAAAATAAATCATGTTAATCTCATCCCATCCTGACAGAATTAATAAGTGAAATTAGACAAACCATTATTCCAGAAGCAGCTAGTAGCTATGTTCTAGTGACATTTACCATCCACACTCACTCTCCTTGGGGTTTAACAATAGGATCACGGGATGGACACCGTGACACTATCACTACCAACAGCCACACTTAAACGATCCCCAAATCCCCGATCAGTTGGGTGGGTGGTGCAAAAATCAAATCTCAGACTGCAGCTGTTTGAACGAACCTCAGAGACCAGTTGAATCAATCAAAATGGTTGAGCCCCACAGATTTCATTGTGTCTTTTAAATTCTCTGAATGTGATTGTCATGGTAACCGCTCCCTTCATCACGTCCTTCAGAATATTCTCTCCCACCTAAGTGAACCCCAAATAGCTCCTTAATTAGGCACACTTGTGCTGGCAGCGGGCAGCTTGGACTTCTCCTGAATCTTACTTTTTTCCAAATGCTTACACTGTGATGGCCATGAGAAACCCTGGCATAGCAGTACCCGAAACACATTTTAAAAGCTACCATAAAATGTAATGATAAATATAAATGAGATGGCCACAGGCTGCTTCCTTCATCAGAAGAACTGATAACCTGGTGCTCACTCAGCAAAAATAATTTAGTGGTATGAATACACAGCTTAGATGAAGGATGCCCCATCTTGAAAAAGTTCAATATAATCAAGATCTGCAACATAATCACATCCCAGAATATATTAATTTAGTAAACAAACCCAGAAAGGGTATGGCAGGTACAGAAATACAAACTTTCATTGTGTGGCCTTCCATTTAGTCTGATATATACTCACTACTAGGTTTGGAAGATCAATTATGCCACACAAGTTTTTACGTTAATTTCATATAACAGGATGATAATATTCTTCACCATGTGTAAAGAGGTTTTTATCTTTATTCAGTTTTGGGGAAAAGAAAAGTATCCACTAGATATACCAGGCATTTAAAGCTGGAATTGCTTTAAGATTTTTCTCCTAGATTTTTGAACTTCTTTAAGAAAACAGTAACAAGCACACAGGTTTATTAGCAAACTTATTTAGTGACTCCTTTTTAAATTTTGCATTGGAATATATACAAACCTTCAAAGTACTAAAGTTTCCAAACTAGCAATAAAAAAGTGTCCTTTTTTCTGGATAGGGCACAGTCAATAAACTAAGCTAAGATGAAAGGAGAACAGTGTGCCCACTGTGCCCCCCAATAAACACTGTGCACCCCCACCCCCTAGCCATTTCTGGATGCACATTTAAAGCTTACTTCTGGAGCTGTAGGCGTGGGCTGAAGTGAAAATAAGGATGAGGAAACTGGATCAAAGGGGACAACTGTATGGGGCAGTATCAAATTGGGCTTTTAGCGGTGAACTTAATATATTATATACACATGTTGTTTTTAATGAACACCTGAAACTATTTTTTAAGGACTTATTTATTTGTGCATACAGAACTGAGGTACAGGCCAGAGGTGCAGGAGGCGAGAGGCTTCACCAGAGACAGAGTGGGGAGCAGAACAGGCAGATCTATGAAGTACACTGCTGAGGGGAGCAGAGGGCGGGTCAGGAGAGGTCTGCCACGCCTTATGGATCTCCTCCAGGGCAGGGATCGAACTCATGCTGAGGTGGCTTAAGCTTCGTAGTGCTGTGCTTTAACCTGCTGCGCCACCAAGGAGGGCCCATCTGAAACTATTTTTAAGTAATGCTGCATGATCAAGATGGAATGCACAGTACCAACATCATAAAACACCATGGCACTGCAAATTTGAAAGTTGCTAAGGACAGATCATTACTGTGATGATCATATCATAATGTATACAAATGTAAAATTCTGGGCCTCCCTGGTGGCACAAGGGGTTACGTCTCAGCACCGTGGAGTTATTGCCAGCCACGGTGGCCTGGGTTCGATCCCCGCCAGGGAGGTGACCCCCATGGTGCAGCAGACCTCTCCTGTCTTGCCCGCTGCCCTCTCAGCAGTGTATTTCAGTAATCTGCCTGTTCTGCTCCCAACTCTGGCGCTGGTGAATCCTCTGCCCTACACCCTGACTCTTGTATGCATAAGTAAATAAAATAAATCTTAAAAAAAGTCAAATTAATTAGTATGGTGTATATGCTTGAAACTAAATCATTCAATAACAAAGAATATTTGACTAATTTAAAAATATATGTATTTGCTTTTTAACTAGTGTATTCAAACAGTAAGAA